CTGCCCGGTCCCCCCGTGTGCCACCTCTCCCTCCCTGGCTTCCTTTCCATCTCGCCTGGCATATGGGACAGGGAGAGGCAGGGAAGTCTGCGGGCCCTCCTGGGATGGGCTTTTCCTGCTCTTCGCTTTGCTGCAGCCCCTAATGTCAGGACATGATTCCTTGCTCCTGATTAAAGGTTTCCTCTGCCAAGTGAACCAAGCTGAGCTTGGTGGAAAGCTGCAAAAGGGCGGTCTGACTCTGGGGTCCCGTGGTTGCTCAGGGATGGGGAAGCCGTGGCTCCACCGAGGGCTGTGGAATTCAGCCCCGAGGCGTTAGAAACTTTTGTGTTCAGGGTTTTGTTAAAAATGCATTGTCAGTGACCGTGGGTTGTTAATAATTCACAGTGAACATCTGAGTCCCGCGGGGCTGGAGTGTGTCTGTCTGTCTGCACGCAGAGATGCACCGGCTCTTTGAGACGCTCCAAATCGAGATGGCAGCTCGCTCTCTTAAAGCATGCTGATACGATTTTAAAAGCCTGGATGACCTTAAATCCTGGGATGGCTGTCTTTCAGGATAAATTATTTATGTCACATCTTCAGTGCTGCCGAAGCCCTCGTTCCTCAGGAACGGGCAGAAATGTCAGGCTTCGGAGGACAGGCACTGAATTTGGAAGGGCTGCGCGCAGGGTAATGAGGAACTGAGGGTTTGGATGGGAAGAGGTGGAAGATAAAGGCGCCCTGCGAGGCGGGGGCGGGAGGGAGGGTGTTAGAGAGGTCCAGCCTTGGAAGTCGTCCCCAAACCGGTGCAGCCGCATTCTGCAGCCGACATCAGAGGGTTGGAAATTCCTCTTGATCTGCAGTTCAAAGCCGCTGCCTCCCTGAGGATGAAGCGCTTCATCTCGGGTTTGCAAATGCAGGCTCGCCGCCGCAGCGAGCGTAGCTCTGAAATACAAATCCACCACGGCGCCCAAATCCCCCTGAAAAGCGAGGAAACGCGCTTACGGCATCTGAAGGTCACTGCTGCCTGTCCTGCTAAAAAAGCAACACACCCCCCCGCCCCCCGAGGGATGAGCAGAATCCAGGGCTGCTGGCTCGAGAAGGCATTTCATTTCCCTTCATGGCAAATGGGGACTTGAAAAACGTGGCGTGTAGTCCTGTCTAGGCCAGGTCTGGCTAATTGAGCTGTTTCACGGGAGGCAGGGGGACTGCTGAATGTAACATTCTTGGGGTTTAATGGTGTTTTGAACCTAGGGTTGGCTGGTTCGCTCTAGGACTGCCCCAAAGTCGGTGCTGCCGTGGGGCGAGGGGTGCTGCGTGGCTGCGGAGCAGCAGCTCTGGAAGCGGCTTTCTGCAGGGTCACCTCGATTTTCAGTGAACTCTCTTTCCTCCAAAGCGATAGCTTTTCACACATTGTCTTCCTCACGGCTTTCTCACAGCTTTCTTGGTTTTTGTTTTTTATTTTAAAAGGAAAGCTAACGTGCAAACCTGCCCCTCCTGGCTTAACCGAAGATGAGCTCTCCTCTGCGCTTTGATCTAGCGGGTGTCTCTCTCGCAGCCCCGATTCAGGTCTTTCAAACCACTTTCCCTGCAAACGCAGTAAGCTGCCTCTGCAGCATATGGAGCTCTCAAAGGCTCAGATCTGGCTTGGTGAAAGGATCCCTGGTAACGAAGAACAAAGGAGAAGAAATGCAGAAAAGTCGGCTGTCGGAGCGGCATTGTTTCAAAGGGCATGGTTTCCGTAAGGCATACGCCAGACATTAAGGGGTGGTAAGCAGCACTGGGAGAACACCCCCCCTTTATTTTTTTTCCCTGGAGGATTTAGCTTGTGTCTCCCTAATCTTTATCAGCTGTGTCTGTCTTCACGAACATTAAAGATCTAGGCCTTATTTTAAAGACACAGATCACTCCAGCGTTCCTACCCAGAGGTCTCAGCTTTTCTCGTGGTATGAAATAATCAGCAGCTGCCATGTGCTAAGTTCGGTGCCTCTTGATTTTGGTTTTTCAATGTGACCTTTGCTGTTAATCCACGACCTGAACGGGGCCGTGTGCTGAAACGAAATGACCTGTTTCTCACAAATTCAGCTCCAGTTTATCCTCAAGCTGCTTTAGCTTAAACTCTTCTCTCTCCGCCCCCCCCCTCGCTCTTCTAGGTCAGAGCCTTTATCTGAATGCAGGTTTCGGTGCAGCGCTGGTTTTAAGGGCATGTTAGATATGGGGAGATAATGACTCGTGGTTTGCTTTGTAGAAATACTCCTCTCCTCCCTGGCTGTGCTTACAGGAGGTAATGTTGCTATGGGATTGTCCCTAGCTGCTCTGCCTGACTCAGGGCTTACGTGAGGGGCAGCAGGGCAAAGGGGGGGACACCCGAGCAGCGTGTTTCCCTTGCAGACGTGGCACCGACTTGTTTTCTGACAGCTGACAAACCCCTGTCCATCTGTCTGTGTATGGCGAGGTGGTGTGTCCCTGTCTTGGGAGTATCTGGAGGGGCTGCTGTGACCCCAAGCGCCGTTAAGGTGCAGAGCTGGGTAGGAAACGTCACCCTGTGAGTAACCAGCTGGAGCAGGAGCGTAACAGGGAGGTGATGTGGGTGTTCCTGTTCCCGTGAGCTGGGAGCGGAGGTGACGGCCCGCAGCGCTGGCACTGCTCCTGTGCTGGCTCAGGCCTGTGACACATGAGACCGAGTCAGGAGTCTCATTACCTGGCACGTTTCTCAGCTGTATCTCTGCTAATTACCTCCAGCTGCTGGTGTTCAAACAAGGCCAGGGCTCTCCTGCCTGTCCCCTCCTGCCGGTCATGCCGCGATGCAGTCACGCTGTCCCCCCGACGTCACATTCTGCCCTGGCAGCAGCTTGCACCGTCCTGGCCCTGCGAGGTGGGAAGGAGCACAGGGGAAAAGCTCTCCTGTTGCAACATGTCCTGGCAGCGCCGGCAGGTCCCAGACGAGCACGTTATGAGCCGTCTGTGATCTTGCTTTGGTGGGAAAGGTGCGGGCTGAATGGGTTTGCCAGGCTTCGTTCCAGTCTGCGGAGTGTCTCGGCGTGGTGGGACGGTGGCACAAGGGGCTGAAAGGAGAAATGGCTGGACGTTGGGGTCTTCTGTGCAAGGCTTCCAGCTTGGTCTGAAGCAAAGTAGCAGAGTACATGTCAGGGGAAGGTGCATTTCTGAGAGGAGAATGGAATGAGGTGGCTGCCCCAGTGAGGTGGATGAGGACCCACTGAGTCACGGAGGGTTCGGGCTCGTGCAGTTCCCTGGCTCCGCAGAGGTGTGGCAGTTGCCACCAGAGAACTTGAGATCTAAAGTGACTTAGAAAATACCAGAAGATAGAGAGAGGAACGTCTTCCCAGAGAGTGTGTCTGTAGTTGGGAAGTTTCTCGCTGGGTAGAAGAGCTGCTTTTAATTAAAAGGTTGGTTTATTTATTTATTTTCCTGAACCACAGAGAGCTGGTGGTTTGCTCGAGGGCAGGGGAGCCGCTGGCATCGCAGCGATGCTGCTGGTCCATTTTTCCTGTTCTCAGACCTCTGGTGTGACAGGGAGTGGCAACGTCTGACATGTGAGGACAGACCTGGTCTTAATCCTGGCCTCTATGTACTGTGGCATAAATAAATTGTAGTTTATCTAGTCTCAGAAGGGATCCAGATTTTAATACCCGATACAAACCATTTCAAAGGTTGTGGGCAGCTGGGTTTCAGTGCCTGGGTCGTAAAGAAACTTTCACTGTCATGGTGGATATATCTGTGACCTCTCTGGTCACTTGCCCTGGAGGTCAGGGATCAGAAGTCGGAAGTTTCAGGTGTGAAACTATCCTGTTGTTACCTGGCGTTGGCATTGTGGTTCCCTTCAGTGGTTAAGGAACAGGTTTTCCTGTGGGAAAGATACCTGCGGCCCAGAGAGGGGCATTTATCCCGTGCCTCTTGGTCTGCCTCGAGCACCCGAAACTCCCGGGGTGGCAAGTGAGGCCTCCAGTCATCACATTCCTATTCCCTGAGCCGGTGCTGCCGGGATGGCCCTACCTGCATGCTGCTGTCAGAGGCACGAGTTTGCCAGGGACCTGTCCTGTGATCTCCCGGTGATTCAGGCTCTTCTTCCTCTCCCCGTTTCCTCCGTGCTCAGTCTCCGGTGCTGACCGGAGCTGCCGGGCTCTGCGGAGCCCCACTGGCAAAGCTCTGCGCAGGCTGGGAGCTGTTCTGGGTAAGCTGTGGCGCGGGACGGATTTGGTTTGGGCTTGTGATGAGATGGATTGAAATGTAATCAGGTCGATGTTGGGAAAGCTTGTTTCACTGCCTGCTTGGACAGCTTCATGGGAGGCTTTCGAGTTGTGGAAATGGAGTGGGGCGCAGGCAGCCTTCAGCGTGTTGGGAGGTTATCGAAGTAGGATCTGAGCGGTTTGGAAAATCTGCCTTATCTGTCAGGGCTTCTCGGGGCCTGGAGCATCTCTCCTTGTGTGAGCCACAGGACAGCACCGTGCCACTTCGTCTGCCTTCTGCTCGGTGATCCGTCTGGCAGATTTAACGGCGTTCATGGCTGGAGCAGCCTGCTGGGGACATGTGCCAGGGCTGGCCACGGTGCCTGCTGATGGGCTGTAGGCTTTGGGCTCCTGTCGCACTTCCACGTGAGCAGCCTCCGGCTGCAGATAAAGGAGCTGGATTGATGGCGCAGGATTAGCTTGGCCGGGTTTTCTCTGCTGAGCGAGGCAGTCCTGGGTTTCAGCTGCAGGCTCTGTGCTGGCGTGGGGGCCCTGGCGATTTGGGGTGTGGGGGGTCATGCTGGTGGCTCCCAACACTGGGACCTGCTGCCCCAGAGTGTTGGAATAATGTGGTGGCCCTTTTGAGCCAGCTGGGGGAGGGCAGACCCAGCCTCTGCCCCATACAGGGAGCCTCAGGCACAGGGCGCTAAGCATGCTAGCCTGGGGCCATGTTTCTCTGTGGCCAGCTTTCCCCTCCAGTCCCTGATGGCTTCCTCCCTTCCTGCAGGCATGAGTGACCAGGCTTGCCCCCAGCACTGAGCAGCGGGAGCCACCGGGAGCCAGGCCAGGATGCCGATCCCTCCTCCTCCACCGCCGCCACCTGGCCCCCCGCCGCCTCCCACCTTCAGCCAGGTAGGGATCCTCTTGCCACCCGGAGGCCTGGCTGGTTGTAGGGTGGGGAGGTGGCCTGTCTCCACATGGTGCTACTTGCCAGCGACCCCTGCATTGTCTCGGGACCTCCTCGAGTCCAGTCTAAGAGAGCTTTGGGTGACCCATGGGCCATGCCTCAGTTTTCCTTGCAGCAGAGTCCGTACATGGAAGGGGTTGCGTGTAGCTTTTTTTTTTTTTTTATTAGTGTCTTCTGTTCCCCCATGGCTTGGGGGAGGGAGAGCAGGGAATCTCACATGTGGCTGTAACTGAGCTGCGCCTGGGGTCTAGGTAGGACAGGTCTCGATTTTGCCCTGTGGGATGGCAGCATACCCTCCTGGTGCAGCCCCATCACTCCATCTGGAGGAGAGCCCCTGGACAAGGCTGTTTGCTGGCAGCGGGTGGGGGTGCCTCTGGGCTCAGCAGAGGAGAATTGGGAAGGTGGAGTCTGGCTGTGCCTGCTCTGTGCATTGGGGTGTCTGCACAGGTGAGCTCCTGCTGAGCTGCTTCTTGTCTCCAGGCAAACACAGAGCCGCCGAAACTGAGCCGAGAGGAGCAGCGGGGCCGTGGAGCCCTCCTGCAGGACATCTGTAAGGGGACCAAGCTAAAGAAAGTGACACAAATCAATGACCGGAGTGCACCAATCCTAGAGAGTGAGTACCCGCCTGGCCTGTCCCCAGGAGGCGTTCAGCCCCACGCTGTGTCCTGCTGTGCCCTTCAGGATGGCTTCTGGGCTATCACCTATCTAGTTTCCAGTGGCTTCTCGTTGGAGGAGCTGATAATACCAGGCTTAACCTCTCTCCCTCCTTTCAGAGCCGAAGGGCAGTGGCGGTGGCAGCTACGGCTCTAGCTCAGCTGCGATCCAGCCGAAGGGTGGCCTCTTCCAAGGCGGTGTGCCCAAGCTCAGACCTGTGGGAGCGAAGGACAGCTCAGGTAATGGCCGTCTGACTGCGGTTTGCGTGGGGGTTTCCTGGGGAGGTCCCTGAGCAGGAGGGGGTTGAGGATCTTGCCGTGTTTGCCTGGGGATTTCGGCTGGTTAGAGGCAGGGACCCCAAATCAACATCCCACGTGTGGTCGCAGGCAAGCTGCCTTCTCTCTGTGCCACAGTGTCCCACGATACAAACCTCCTTGGAGGGCCTGAGAGCTGCGTGTGTTGCTGAATCTTTCTCTCTGCTGTTTTCTGTGGCAAACTGCCCTCCAGCAAGCCAGAGAGTGAATAGCAGTGGTGAGAGAGGAGCCGTGTGTGGCTGAGAGCGGTGCCAGCTCCCTGCCTGTGCCAGACAGCGTTCC